AACCATAATGATTGTATGAAGGCACTTCCTACAGACAGGAATTCACTTACATAGGCAGGGATAAATTACAAGGAAGAACACTATCGCCTGGATTCACCCTACCAAAATGCAAGCATTTCTCCGAGATGCCTAAATGAGCAGAAAAAGAAGTGAGCTGGCTCTGAGGTAACACCCATCTCCTTACTTGGGAGACAGCAGGGAGTGGAGGAGACAGCTCTTATCTCAGTATCTGGAGTATGAGCTCAAAGACCACATGCTTAGGTCTGTGGTTAGTGACTCACCTGCAATTAAGCTGAAACCCGAGATCGCTACGTAAAGATAAGTCTCTGGACTTTATGGTTGTAGAACAGCATCTGCCTAATGTCTGCCAAGAGCTCAGAACAGTTGCGCCGAGAGGTGAACAGTCCCAAACATCTCAACGGGGTGCAACTCCCCAGCTATGCCAGGGGATGTTCCCAGCACCCTGCTGCATCAATACTGCACACCGACGGTTCCTGGAAGATGGCAGAAATCAGGGTTCAGTTCCCTTCTGCTGAGGAGAAACCAATTACAAATAACCTTTAAATGCAATAAAATTCAGGCCCTCAAAACTTTCTTTTTTTCCCCTCCAGGAAACGTCGTGTGAATTTTGTGGCTTATACTTCAAGCCTTCCAAGGAGAGAGACTGCCAAAACCACACTATCCTTTTACCTTGAGAGATTCTCTAACCTACTGGCACACAGATGCCATCCATGCGAAAAGCACTGCAAAAATGCAACCTGACGCTGACAACCAAGTCATCTCGCTTCCAAAGCAATCTCTTTCCTTTCCTCAACATACTCTACTTGCTGAAATTTTGTCCTCAATATTTGTATTGGGTAAGGTTCAGGAAACTCTCTCCTGCCCATTTCTTTCAAACAACCCTTTGCCTCTGCTGCTGCTGGTGCTATTTGCAGCTGTTTTCATAGTACTTTCAGCTTGAACAAGAAGTCTTCATGGTAGAGGCTCCCTCCAAATTCTAAATAGCCAAAGAATTTGGATAAGTAACCAAACCAAAATCCAACAGCTCAAATTCTGAGGTTTGCCTATTATCAGCCTCAAGATTACATGCAAGCAGGGTTAAAGAACAGCCAGCTAATTCAAAGTGAGAGACAAGCTATGAATCTGTTTTAAAAAAAAATAAAATACAATGCATCTTGATCCAGCATTTTGCTATTGGTATGTATGCATTATTCAAATAAGATGCATTAATCACTGAAGAACACTTGTGGAAAATCAAGTGTTTTCTACTCACTCTCTCAGCTGCAGATTTTAGGAGGTCAGCTGCAACTCCACGTGCAATGAGGTTTCCAAATTACTAGCAACTCTGAGCTGGTCCTAAATGCAAAGCAAAACCCAAAACAGAGCCTGATGCTCTATGTGTGAAAGATAATAAGCAGTGAATAGGTCTGCATACCTGGGAGACAAGCAGCATACTGCTCTGAATTTACAGCAGCAGTATCTTGGAAGACGATCAGCATCTTCTGTGACATGTCCATACTTCCAGTGAGGTCTTCAAAGCCCCCATACTCGGAATATTGAAGTAGAGCTAATTTGCTTAACCCCCAAAGGCCCACTTCCCTGCTTCTGAACTGGCAGGGACAGGAATGCAAACAGAAATGCAACAAGATATACCCTTCCAGGGCCCCATTTATTAAGTGAATACAAAAATAAGATAATTTAAGTGCAGAGGCACAGTAATCCGCTCCATGGTGAAAAGATATCTTGGGTTAGCAGTAAACAGAGTTTACAATGCCTTGTAAACAGACCTCTTTACAAGCAAGAAGCATACCGAAACATGACAGACATTGGATTAAAAGTTCCCTGTTGCAGCATTACTCCGTACTTCTCACCTCGCAATTTCCGAGCACTTCACAAAAGGTGAGAGCATCCTTTGCTCTGTTTTCAGAGGAGCACACGTGAAACAAATGAAACACAAGGAACTTGCACTGTAAACAGTTGAAAAAGCGCCACAGCATTTTCCGAGAATGATGGCTTACCCCTTGTTAAGTTCGTTTTGCAATGAAAAATAATGGCCAAAGCTGTTGTGCATTATGTAAGTTTTTAAAATTACTACCTTTCTTTTTTTTACAGCAACTTGTTGCACGGTTGAATAAAAAATATTATTATTTTTTTTCTTAATACAGTACATGGCATTTCTCCTCAATTGCACTAGAAGTAAATTTGGAAGCACTTTCAGTTTGTGTTATAGGCAAATAGGAAAGAAAAACAAGTCAGGCAGGCTTTCAATCTCTTTTCTTTCTCTCTGCCTACTGTTTCATCCCCACCCTTTCAAATCTCCGAGTCCACATACATTCCATTGATCAGGTAATCCACTTGTGTGTAATCCTTCTTCTTGTAGCTCTCGTAGGCCTGCATAAGAAAAAGAACTATAACAGTTATGAAAAAAAACGTACCGACTAAAAGCACTGCAAGAAGCGAACTTCTATCCACTAAGTACTGAGTCAGGGGCTTGGCAGCAATGAGAAGATACTCATTGTCCGTGTCCTGAGTTTCTGCAAGGCCCGAAGCTATTGTTTTGGGTGCATCTGCTGGAGCCGTGGTTGTTGAAAAAATGTGAGATGTTGACTTTATCTCATGCCCAATCGTAGTTTCTGCTGTAGAGGCAGTCGTTAGGACCGTGACACCTCTGGCAGAGCCCAGAAGAGACGTTGATTTACTCAAGGATGTTGTGGCCGTACTTGCTTCTGGCTTTAGATGTAGCAAGGTAACGACAGGCAGTGGATTCGCAGAGCGTGAACTCTCCAAGGGGGTGAGTGCCGTGACATGAGTGGAAGCCATGGAAGATGTTCCTGCATGCTGCGAGATAAGGGTGGTCAATGTTGTGGTCAGCGTCTTTGGGCCAGCTCCAACAGTGGTGGGGCTACTATAGTGGGGAGTGCTGGTGGTGGCTGGGTTAAACTGCCCTGTTTGAGGCATTTGAGCATCTGCTTCAGAAATGAGAGTGAGGGGAGCAGAATTAGAAGTGGGGGACAATACTGACACAGAGCTACTATTTCCCGATTTTTCAGTGGTGGTCACAAGCTTGGTGACATAGCTGGAAGTGGAAGCAAGGATGTTACCAGCAGTGGGAGAAGAAGCAGTAGATGACATGGCTACAGTAAGTTGACCAGAACCTCCAGGGACTTTGGCAGTTGTTTCATAAGTTGTAGTGAGGACAGTTGCATTTGTAACGTTTGTTGTTATGGCTGTGGCGGTGGTGGCAGTGGCGGTGGTGGCAGCGGTGGCGGTGATGGCATTGCTTGCAGTTGTTTTTCTTGCATTTGTTTTTACATCTTCATTCTCAACCCCAAGCAAATGCCTCAAGTGAATCTTGCGAGTCCAAGCAGTTGAGGAAAACAGGTTTTCCACGTTGTGTTGCTCAACCCATGCATTCACCATCCTCTCCTTTTTCTGTGGATAGCTTTGGTGCTTAAACAGGACTGTTTCCCTTTTCCCACCGACAATTTCTTCAAAAAGACAAAACCAATGAGTTTCATAAGAATAAAAGTCTCATGCTCAAAGCTGACCTCATATCCCCGACATGCAAACCAGAACGTGTATTCTGCAGTACATGTAGTACAACTGGAATAAATCAGTCCTGAAGTCAGCAAGAACATGAAAACTCAGACCCCTACCTTTACTGCATATAATCCCTTTGGGTTTTTTTTGTTTGTTTTTCTTTTTTGTTTTTTGGTTTTGTTTTTTTTTTTTGCCACAGACCTCTGGCATTTGCCCAACAAGGGAATTAATTCCACAAATGGGGGTAATGAAGTACAGAGCTACAATGTAGAAACACATTACAAATGCCAGCTCCTGAGAAGACTCCTGCTTTCAAAGTTACACAGCATCGACAAAGCCTTTGTGCTTAGATTCCTAATTTTCACCTCTCGAAACTGAGTGGAAATTTCCACTTACAATTCCATACTTCCAGAGAATTTGCTTCACAACTAGTGATCTAGATTTATAGTGACATAAATCCCATCTGCTTATCAAAGGTCTGGTTGCTACATTGCAGAGAAACCTTTACCAACCCAAAAGAACCATGAACAAAGTTTCTTTTTTTTTTTTTTAAACTTGGGTACAGCAAACTCTTAAAACATACTTTAGAAGATTGATTCCTCAATTACCAACAAGCTCCATTTTTTTTATTGTGTCACTTAATTAAAATCAAAGACCTTGGCACTGGAAAGTCACCATGAGCAACTGCTGCTAAGGCTGCTCTGATTATAGAAGCAGCTTGCTGCCTCTGGCACAAAATCCTGGCAATCTCAGAAAAAAAAAAAAACCAACAATGCCAAGACATTTTTCTTTTCTCTTAAAAATATAAATACATCTGTTACGTCTTTATTTTCCTAAGGACGGCGTGTGGAGTGCAAATGGCTTGAATAAATGGTGCCTTCAACATGAAGACCAACTGTTACTCGGTAACGGTTACGGAAGTTACTCAAAAACGCATCATGCAGATGTAAGTGCCAGAGTCCTAAGCAGACTAGCAAAACAGTTTTTCCAGTGAACCAACTTTACGTACAGAATCATCCTGCAGGTATTTCACAATCCATCTCCCTCAGCTGAAAGCCAGTCAAGGTCTAAGCATAGACATTTAAAGCAAAAGGACGAGGATCCTGGATTTAGCAGGAGCCTGAAGCATGACGTTACCTTCAAGCAGATCTTTGATGTCTTGTTCTCCAGCATTCTGGCACATGCTCAACTGATGACATTGCAAGAGGATGCAGCGATTCTGGTAGGGCACAGACCAATTACACTGATGGTTACCTGAAAACAGCAGAGAAAATGGGTTGCTACGCACAGTATACTGAACACACTGCTTCATGGCTTTAATTAAAGAATAAAAAAGACAAAAAACCCACAAAAATGACAGCTGGAAGGTCTGGCCTTAAAGGATGCTGACTCAGCCTTAGTGAAAATAACTGGAAAGCCAGTGAAATCAATATAGCAGCTGCAGCCTACCTACCTACTTGCTTGTCTCCTGGTACCAACATCTCCTAACAACAGCAACTCACCCACCCAGACGGGGACCAAGAGAGCGCACTACAGTTTGGACCCATCTAAACACTAGCTTTCATCTATATGTCTTAATGAGGGAAAAAAAAGTGAGCTGAAACTGAGAAGACACCCATCTCATCACCCATGGGAGACAGCTCTCATCTCAGTGCTTGGAGTTACACAGAAATTTACTCTTCATTTGCTAAACAATGACACTATTAGCCATGGGAGCCATCACCGAAATTGCCTTTTAGTAAGTTAAATCCCAACACAAGCTAAAAAACCTCATCACAGCAGGAACTCACTCTCCTGGCATCCCTTTGAACTCATTAACTTCTTTCTAGGCATGTCAATGTACACATAACCAAGCTTTGAGGAAAGGAACGAGCCTCCTCCAACCAGTGCTGAGGAAACATCTCAAACCCTGAACCCAGTTTTGGGCTCCACAGCGTACAAGAGCGGTATTGACATACTGGAACCAGTCCAAGGGAGACTACTAGATGTCCAAGGGGCTGAAGTAGATGATTTACAGGAAATCCCAACTCAACATCAAGGGAAAAAAAAATTAGTTTCTACCATGAGGGCACTCAAACACCGGGCTGGAGGCCAGAGAGGTGGTACACGCTCCATCAGGGCTTGAGCAGCCAGATCTAAGTCGGGTTCAGACCAGAGACCTTCAAAAGGTCCCTTCCTGCCTAAATTACACTATGGGCTGAAGCAGATGATTTACAGGAAATCTCAACTCAACATCAAGGGAAAAAAAATTAGTTTCTACCATGAGGGCACTCAAACACCGGGCTGGAGGCCAGAGAGGTGGTACACACTCCGTCAGGGCTTGAGCAGCCAGATCTAAGTCGGGTTCAGACCAGAGACCTTCAAAAGGTCCCTTCCTGCCTAAATTACACTATGATTTTATGTAATATCACAGTAGCATGCAATTAATTTCTGGGACACATGCTGTAACCAAAAATCACAGAAGAAGATAACACAGTGCTCAGTCTGGGATGAAGTAGATGTGTGCCCAACTGATCACCCATCAGTGAATTAAAGGGAACTTAAGTGTTTGGTAGGAGAAATTAATTTCTGTGTTTTGTTAGAAGTGTGAGAAAGAGCAAAGAACATGCCTATGTGGTACATATAGCTATATTTAAAGCTCTTATCTACAAAGAGAGTTACCCTCACTGAGGATTAAGGCTATGGGAAGTTTGAATTTTTCATAAAAACCCATTTACGATACTACAGTTATTAAAAGGGCTTGTGGAAAATTTATGAACTTGGAGAAATCCCTGTACCAACAACTGCAATCTGTTTTGACAGCCCTACAGAAACTAGCAAAGGTGGAATTTTACTGACTTTGATAAAATGTTAAGAAAGTGACTGAAACCATTCACAGCCTTTAAAAAAATGGTACTTAAAAAGTGATAAAATGAAAAGTTTCAGCAGTCACACAGAACAGGAGATACAACAGCAGCCCTTCAAGAAATTCAAATCCACTCCTCAGAAATGAAAGCACATTTGGATGTGCCCCGATTCCCAATCCCACCTCCCGTTCCTCGCTCACTAAGCCATGCTAGTAGAGAAACACAGACCATCTCCTACTGTAAATCGTGCCATTTCTCACTTCTTGGGAAAGGGAAAACAAAAAGCTAGCAGTGTATCTTGCATTGGCTAGACATGTCTAAGTCAGTCAGTTCAGAAAGGCCAAGAGACTAATGGGGTCAACGTGGTTAAAGCATTCTGGTTTCTGCTGCCATCAAGATGGGATCTAGCTGCTCATGCCTTCCCTGTTGCTCCTCAAGACAACCAGATACCTCTATTAAGCTGGACTGATTAGTACTGCCTTTGATGCAACTCTAGATAGAGGCTCCAGCTGATGTGTGCCCTGCAAGATATGTACCAATCAGTGCCTCCTTTTTGCTCACTTCCAATTAGGAGACAGAAGGAAAAAAAAAAAAAATAAAAGTGGAAGGACAATAAAAGCTCTTCAGAGCTATTTTGAAAGGAAACCATGTAGGCAGACACCAAGATCTTGTCCTACCAAACTGGTTTATTTTATTTTTAAGCCTGCTGTTACTGGAAAGAAATTGCAGATGTCCAAATGCAAGCAGAGGCCAGGTAAGCAGATGTATTGTGGAAGCAGGGAGCAGGAATATAGGCTTTTGCAGCCATGTCCTATTTTCCCTTTATTTTCCCCAAAGCGTGCAAGATAGCCCAGAAGCATGGCCAAGAGGCTCTGTTCTCAGAGTCAGACTGCTCAGATGGCCAAGATGTTCCCCTTCAGCCCTGGACTGGCCACCATAGAAGAAATTTGGGAGAGCTTTGAATATGGCTGAGGAGGCAAAGAGAAGAGCAGGAGTTTATCTTACCTCCCAACACGGGTTCACTGTGCTCACCGGGCATCCGGGAATCCTGGATCGCCCAGTCTTTGCCAAGATGGGCACTTTCTCCATCATGTCCATCACTTACCCTAGCAGCATTGGGAGACTTGAACCCATTGCATTAGACTACATACATAGTTAGAGTTACCACCCATGCTGTCAGCTCTAGAGAGTTTTGCTGCTTTTATTAGCATGTAATTGAAGTGTCAAATTGTTTCATGATATTGGTACAAATCGTTTTGTGATATGTTAGTTTGATAACTGTGCACCCTGGCCACTGGTGTGGATATTTGAAGGCGATGTTGGAATAGCTAGACCAGCAACCATCCCCTTTTCTTGCAGGGCACATCTGAGATGTGAATGTACTGGCAAAAGCAGGATTTTCTGTGATAGTTGCACTACTTCTTTAAGTTAGTGATGTTATGTCAGCAAGGGTATAAATGATATCTACAGAAGAGAACATAACCAGCTAGGAATGTTATTTTCCCACTTCTCCAAGCAACGTAGCTATGAAGACATCCCCTCATGCAACCTTCACCTGCAACTTAACACCATAATACCTTAAAAAAATAACAACCACTGCTCCTTTATGGACAGTTACACAGGTGTAACTATTCTGACATCTAAGCCTCAGGTCTCACGTCTGGAATGAAAGAAAGCACAAAAATAAATATATATGGGGAAGGTGGGAATAGAGAACGAGAGCAGTAAAGCTGATCTTAAAGCCTAAAGCTAATCTAAAAAAAATAAAAATGACATTTCAGATCCTTCTGTCCAGATGATCTCTCCGCACATGGCTATACATTTATGTAAAGAGTTTGTGGATTTTCCATCTCCCTTGACACCAGGTAGTGCAACAGACTGGCCATCAAGTAACAAATAGGAATTAAATTGCTTCAATGGGTTTAATACAGAATGTAAAACCTGAAAAGGTTTATGCTTTTGGGTTTAGTTTTGCCTGGTTTCCTGAAGATGGAACGGGTCACCTAATTCTAGAGGCTCAATCCCCTCTGCCCAACAAAGCCAACACTCAGCTGGACTTGCTCTGTACAAAGCATGTCAGGAGACAACAAGGTGAAGGGTATAAAAAAAGTGGTTGAAGTCAGCAACAGGGCAAAGCATGCACTCAGATTGTCTCCCAGCACTGATCACAGACTAAATTCCTTATGTCCCTCCTCTGGAAGAGGCAGCTGATAGCACCTTTTCTACCCTTATCAAGCTCTCAGGAGGTTAAGATGCACAGTGTTTAGAGATTCTCAGGTAGAACAGACAAACATGCCGTGCTACAGACCCCAAGTGTCAGCGCCGTCAGTGTGAAGGTGTCATCTCTCTAGAGTTTAGCACCATAAAAAGTAGAAGCTGAAGTTTTCACAGCTCTGGTGCCTGAGAGACAAACACACTCATATTTTATCTCCTAAATAAAACAGTTTATAAAGGTGATTTCTTTCCACTATGAAGGGATGTCATAAAGGTTTGAAACCACTGGGCATTAAAAAAGGCACCTTTATGATGTTCCTCTCAATCTGATTGTCAGACATTCATCCACCTGAGCAAAGGTCTCATCCTCACGACAGTATCATCAGTTATTTGTAGGTGCTACAAGCTTTCACGTGTGGCTAGATAGGATAGGGTCCTTCATAAGGACAACTCTGAAAGACTCATTTAGAAGTTTAATGCTTTTTAAAAGACATCTCAGAGGGAGACAGCAGAAGGCTCTCGTCTCCCCAGAGTTGTTTAACCCCGTGCTTGATTGCAGGATAAAACTGTTTTTTTCTAAGGCAGAAAAACCACACATAAATACCAGTGAGCAAAGACTACTCATTCCAGCGCAGCTGTCTACAACAGCACTGTTCACTTGCAAACATCTGGCAGCATGGAATAATCATTCTTCAAGTCAAGTGACCTAACACCATTTGCACGCTACCAGTGCACACCAAGCGCACATGCATGCTGTTTCTTACGGAAGCTAGAAGGGAAACGGTTGTTCTGGATTCAATTTAAGCAAAGCTGTCAGAAGTTATTTAGCACCACAGGACTGCACAGAGAAGCCATAACTGTAAATGCCTGTAAACAACTGGAATTAAGAAAGATAGTTGTCAGGGGAGCAGAGGAGACCTTTAAGGAACAGAAAGCCCAGCTGGAATTCCAGCTAAGGGAGGAGAACCTCACCTGAAGCATCTGGGCTTTGACAAGCCTGCCTGCACTGCTCTTCAGTTGTAAGCCTGTTTATTTGCACTACATGGACTCCTCTCCCTTTCAAGATAGAAAACCTGTGTTCACATAAACAGAAGGAAATCAGCAGGACGAATACAATGGCAGTCCACATCTTCAAGGTTGGCCTTGCAGGGAGGCTTCCCTTCCCAGGAGCAATTCTTTCTTATATCACTTTCAGATCCACTGCAATATACCTATTTAAAAAAAAAAAAAAAAAAAAAAAAAAGAGAGAAAAAAAAAAAAAAATAATCAATTTATAA